CTTTGAATCATACTTGAATTCTTGCCGTAAACCTTATTAATCATGATTTAAAAAATTTTGCTGCTGGATTTGTTCTGCTAGTATTTTTATTTAGAAGGTTTCATCTATATTTATGTGTGGTTGGGTCAGAATTTTCTTTTCCTCTACCATTCTTCCAAGATTTTGAAATTGAGATTATATTAGCTACATGAGTCATATAACTTACCTTTCGTTTTTATTGCCTGAAACATCAATTTTCATGATTTTCATTAACTAAGGATTTTATGTTTCTTAAAAGTTTAGTAAAAGTTGCCTGTAAAAACATTTATGCTTGGTGTTTTTGGAAGGAAGAGACTTTTACATCTACTGCGATTGTTACTTGATCTTATTTCTAGCGTCCTATTTTATGTTTTTTGTTTACCATCCTTTTTCTATGCTTCTTTTATCTTGCCATCTCTTTTCAAATTTTCCATTTTCCTTGGTAGATTATAATGATTTAGTGATGATCTCTTCATTTATTAACATATATCCTATATATTAGATCCAAACTATATTTTTTTCAATGAAGTCTAAAATTATTTAACATTCTGAGACAAAAACCTTAGCATGCTTTAACCAGTCCTTGAAGATTCTCTTCCCACCACCTCATGTTATTATAGCCTAGAACTTGCTTTACCTTTTTTAAACATGCAAAAATTATTTTTTAAATTATAATCAGTAATTAAATTTATTTACAAATTTAAGAATTTCTCTCATCTTAAAACAGGGCCCCCAAGTTGTTTGACATTCCTTCCTTGGAGAATTGGGTGTCTATGCTCCCCCTTCAAACTTGGTAGGCTTGTGACTGCTTTGACCAACAGAGTAGGGGGGAGGTGACACTTTAACTTCTGGGATTGGGTCATAAAAGGCAATGTGACTTCCCCCCTGGAACAGTGAGCCACCATGTGAGAAGTTTAGCTGTTCAGAGGCTGCCATGCCACATGGAGTGCCCACAGAAGGCATCCTATCACAGCAGTCCTGTCTTCAAGTCATCCAAACCCAAGCACAGACACAGGAGGGAAGAAGCCTCCAGATGATTCCAGCCTCCAGCTGTCGATGCACCACTGTCCTTGAGTATTTCCGTCTGAGGTTCCAGACATCATAGATCAGAGACAAGCCATCCCTGCTGTGTCATGTTCAAATTCCTGACCCACAGAATCCACATGCATAATGAAAGTACTTCTAGGAAGCACGGTTTTATGCCACTAAGCCTTGGGATAATTTGTTACACAGCAACAATAACTAGAACATGGTTGTTTCTTGTATCCCAGACCCTTATTTTTCTTCTTGCTGAAATGTAGTCTTTAAGTGCTTTTTAAGTGATGTTCTATGGGGCCACATTCTCTTTAATTCTTCGTAGAACCGAACAGGTCTTTACTTTGCCCTCACTCTTGAATAATGGTTGACGGTTCTTTATTCTCAGCACTTGAAAGATATAATTTCTGGCGTCCCTTATTACTCATGATGATCTGCTCTCTCATAGCTTCCAAAACTTTTTTAAATCTATCAATATAGATTTTTAAAAATCCATCAGTGAGGATTAAAAAAATTTGTCTCGCCTTTTGGTGCTCTGCATCTGAGCCCGGGAAGTTGTCTGAGTTGTGGAAACTGAAGAAGCATGGGTCTTGTGGTCAGGCCGATCTGATTTTGAAACAGAGCTCTGTCCCTTGCCATACTGATCTTGAGCAAGAAAATTCTCCAGGCTCCTTTTCCACCTATTGTTATCTGCCTCGAAGAGTTAATGTGAGGATTGAATGGTAGTACGTGCCTTCTAAGTATTTGTTATAATGAGCAGCATTGTCCTGCCTTGCTTCATGTTCTGCCTCAGACCTCACAGGTTGTTGCAAAAATTAAATGAGGATGTGCCCAATATTGTGCCTTGTGCATACTAGGCCCTCCATAAATGTTACCCTGTCTTTATGAGTAGTATTCAACTGAAGAAAGCTAGATGAGGTGGTGGCTTCGCAGCAAGAACAGGGGCTGTAGCATGGAAAAAATTCTAGGGGGCTCAGCACAGTCTGTGGCGCATCCAAGGGCAAGCCCCGTCTCCTCTCGGGTCTGCCTCCTCCTGAATACAGGAAAAGCAATTCCTGCCTCCTAGTGCTTGGCGGGGGCCTGGCTGACATGTGCAGTGTGTGGCAGGTTCTGGGTAAGAGAGCCAGGCTTGGTCACCTACTCCTGCAGAAGCAGTCTGGAAGGCTGGGTCACTGCCACCTGGTGTGGGAGCGGGTCCCTGACGGGGCTGCCCCCGTGTGGCCTCCTCGGCTCTCCCTGAGCGGGTGAGCTACAACACTAAGCCAGAAAAACAAGTGCATGAGCCGGTGAAAGCTTGGGCCATAAGCAGTCCTCCCCCCTTGGTGGGCAAACCCGGGGTGGTTTCCCAACCATTTGATGCCAAAGTACTTCCAGGAACTACGGTTGTCTCCAGATGTTCCTACGAGTGAAATCGGGGGCAGGTGGTGAAAACCCAGAGTAAAAGGGTAAAGGCACTGGCACTGACTTGGGATCCAGGTGTCCTCTGAACGGAAAGCACAGCAGTCGGCAGAAAATACATGGTGTGTGTGTGTGCGTTTCAAAAGTAGAGACTCTATTTTCCTCAGCCCCATTAGGACTCAAAGTTCATCGCCTGCCAGCCTACCTTTGCTGACTGATTTTACCAGAAACTGCTGCCCGCGGCAAAGAAAGAACGTCTGGCTACTTCAGTTCACCGCATAGGCTCTTTCCGGGAGAAGGAATTAGGAAGAAAAGAGTGAAAAGGAATTAAGGAGAAGAAAGGAGTCAACGACCTTTGAAAGAGGCCGTTCTGGGCAGAGGTGGCAGAGACCCCCCGGGATCGCTGTGACAGTCCCCACCCTCACATGGCGGCCAGCCTGCACCATTCCCAGCGGCAAGGATCGTGCAAATTACAAGACAGATAGAGCTGGCCCCTGCCGTTGGGGGAGGGGGCTGGCGAACAGAGGGCTCTTTTTCCTAATTAGCTGTTTTTATACAGGGCACACATGACCCAAACACAACCACCAACTGTGTCTTTGACATATACAGGCAGAAAGGGGGAGCTGGGCTTTTGTCTGCCGTGGATTCTTTCAACTTGCCTGTCACCCCAAGCTGCAGAACTCAACAAGAAAGTCGGATGAGCAGGACCACGGCAGACAGCGTGCTAAATGGACTTGGAAACAGGTATCATTTCAGCCCGCTTCGGGTTGGGAAATCCTGTCAACGGGAAATTGGGTGAACATCTCCTTGCCTTATTCTAAGAGACTTGTGACCATTTCTGCCATTTGCCTGAGTTTCCGGTATATCCTAAAACAGTGCGTGGTTCAAAAAAGAAAGGAATACATTTCAAGGAAAACTTTTCTTGGTAATAAATGCAACCCCTTCATAGAACCCTAACTGTCCTACTGTCCTGACCTCCTTTATCATATTGTTAACTTAGTAAAAACAAGTGAATTCCAAAGAATACTGCCAAGTGAATTACTTTCCCTGTCTAACGAAGAGGCCTCAATAATCTACATAATCACTTTAAGAATCAGCACACTGAAGAATAAGGGATAGAGCGAAAAAAGATGCCTGCTTTGTGGATGTGGGTCCGCATACGTGGGTGCGATATTGTGGATTCTTTGATTTTGAAGCAATGAACGGATGGCAAAAATGTTTCGGCCATTCACTGGACTGAAGGCAGCTATGCGTGAATGGTTTTCCCAGAACCAGAGGTGACTTGTGCTAACACTAACTGTGCCGAGCCGGAAGCCGTCAAAACGTCATGCCTGATGGCACTGCCCAGGTAGGAGCCACCGGAGAATGTCCATGCGCAGCTCAAAGAGAACTTTCATCTGTAGCCACGGTGCAGGCCAGGGCAGAGAGCGTCCCAATGCCGAGATTAAAGAAATCCACAACAAAACACTTCTCCAAGTGGGGAAACACAGTCTTTCATGGACAGAGCTGTTTAGAAAAAATAGTGCCGCCTTTGTTTACCACATACTCGCTTCGTTGTAGAGCACAACCGGAAAATGGTGACAAGACCATAAAAAAGCTGGATGGAAAAGTGTCAAATTAAACCCGGAGTGAAACCCAGAGCCGATTGGCTTAATTGGAGGTAATGAGAAATGAAACCACATCTCTCCTTGCAAAGTAAAATAGTGAACTGAAGCAAGTACCTAGAAAAGCTACCAACAGCCCTTTGCTGAAATGCCTCAAAATTTGAGGCCAAAGTGTTTGGAGCTTTCAGATGTCTGGATGATGCCTTAGGGTTTCTCCTCACTTTGCTAATGATGACCTGGACTCGATGCGTACTCCATTCTTTCCAGTGAAAAGGAATAAACCGTGTCCCACAATGTAGCACAGCATTCACCCTAAGTCGGTGGTTCGGTTCCTGCCTGTGGATGAGCGTAAGCGCCCCTGGGCAGAGACTCCAAGTTGCGTTACTCTGGAAGGAGGAGGTGTGCACCTGGGGAGGGAGGTGAGGAGCACCCAAGGGGTCAATAAAACCAAGGGGAAAATGAACATAAAAGTTCTAGGGATCCAACTGGGGCACAGTGTTAAAGAAACCTTTAGACACTCTACCCACTACTGGAGCATCAGTCGAGCCATCTGCAAATATTCCAACTCAGAGGCTTTTCGAGTTCCCAGTCACGGGAATTCCACACTATGGAATTCTGCAAAATAGTCCCTGGAAGCAGCATTCACTGGGGACACCTGGCCAAAGCGAAGCGCACCCACTGCTTTTAGTCCTCTCTAAACTCCAATAATACTAGCTGAGTGAGAACCTCCATTTTCAGATTTGCATACATTAGCACACAATGCCATCTTTCTCCCTGAAAGTCCTGACAATGTCGACTCCTTCCAGAACAGGTAAGTTTCAGGGTGATGTCCTTGTGGGCTCAGGGACAGCAAGTGAGATCAAGGCTGAGTCTAGAGAGGTGGAGTTCAAGCACGAAGTCCAGAGAGGAAGTGTTTGGATATAGGGAGGGCTGGGGCGGCCTTACCGAAGCTGGGGGCACTATGCAAGGTCATGTCCCGGATCACCCTTGTGCCAAAACAGGACCACATCAAGAGGAACTGCTGGGCCACTTTCTTCAGGGACCCTTGTCTCTTGGCAGCCACCTACAAGAAAGTGAACAGATTTAACAGTGGTCAACGTAATCTTTCATTTATTACGGTCTCCCTGAAAAACACTAGGAAGGTTTAATGGGTCTCCAAGTTCAATGCTATAGAACAATGGTTTTTGACTTGCTGTTTCTTCCAGCAAAAAAATATGCTTTAAAGAATGAAATCTTATGTCAAGACCCAATGCACACAGCAGATAAAAGAGATGCTGACCTGGCTGAGTCAGGGGAAGGAGACTCATGGTCCTGCCTCCTGCAACCCCCACCTCCGGAGGGGGCCCAAGCCTCTCCTCAGAACCCCAGGGCTCCATGGCTGCTGAGGAACATTCAGATAGCTCAGGGTGGGGCTCTGTATCTCCCAAGTGCCACAAAGGTGAGTGGCGGGTTGCAGTACCGGGGCTGCTCCTTCCGCTCCGGCTTACCAACCTTCACAACACACCGGTCCACCATGGTGTCTAGCCACTCGATGTAGGACTCGATGGGAGACTGGTCCTCCAGGAGGTGGTCAAACTCCTGGTACACTGTCAAACAAAGGAGAGCCCCCCACATATCACTGCAGCTGTGTCTACACAGAGATACATCTTAAAAGAACAAAGGAATGAAACTGAATAAAACAGAACTCCAGTCTTAACACAGCATTCAGGCTTTAGAAAATATGCCCCGACTTACCTTTCCAGGCTTGTCTTCCCAGCCCCTGAGCACCTGAGAGCCTGGCTCCCATGTTAACTCGCCATATGCCCTCAACAAGCCCTACTTTCTCAGGCAGTCCCCTCTGCTCGCACTCTCTGGTTCCTCGTGGCCCAGCCGACATGATCCCTCTCGTGAAATCCTTTTTCCCCTCTGCAGGCCCCTCGCCGGCAGAACTGATCACTTGTCCTCCGAGCTTCCCTAACGCTTTATTATCTCATATGCCCCCTTCGCTGCTAATGCTGTGTTACAGCTGCGGGGCGAGTCTCCCGGGCCAGTTCTCTGCCGGGGGTCTTTCTTAGCCGGGGCCTTCCCCATAGGCGGCCGCTATCCAGGATGTGCTTGCTTGCATGCGCCGACCCAGACCCAGGCAGTGCCGCTCCCTTGCTCTCTGCCCCATGGCAGGCACGTTTGATAGTTCAAAGCTTCTAAACCACAACTGTGGTGGGCAAGTCGCCCAACCAGCCTCTCAGGGCTCAGTACGCAGTCGATGCTTAATAAATGTTCGTAGCATGAAGGAAACAATCTCTGTGCCCTTAGTTTCCACATTAGGAAAAGGGGAATAATCGTACCACTTTATAGCCTGTCTTCAGCTGCACGTCAGATAACCGAGTCCGGATGGGCTATGGAATTCGCGAAGCACCACAGAAAAAAGAAACCTTGCTGGGGTGAAACATCTCTTTTCATGACCGTCTTTGTGATTTTTGCATGTGGAGCTCCGTAAACCAAACCACACTTTCAGATTCACATCTTTTTTTTTTTTTACAGTTTTCATTTGTCCGAGCAGTTTTTGGCCTCCCATTCCATGGGCCTAGCCGAGGGGCTCCGGGGTCCCGAGCTGATGACTGCGACAAGACGCCAGCCACCACCCGGAGCTCAGAACAGGTTAGAATGAGAAGGGGCTTTGAACGTCCGTGAGTTGACATCGGTGTCCTTTTACAGAGGGGCAGCTGTGTCTCAGTGAGATTAAGGCCCCCCTCAAAGTCAGAGGGTGAGTGAGTGCCCGAGCAGGGACTGGAGCCCACGTCTCCGACCTCTGTCTGGGGCGCCTTCCTCTTGATGGCACGGTCGGCGTGTCCGGGGGGTGTCGGCGCTGTTGCGCTTCGGTCCGTGAAGGTGGCAACGGAAGTGGCCAAGAGGGTGCTTCTGGTTAACACCTACTGGGTTCTTGCCGCGCCAGGCACCTTCCTCACTGCTTTGCGCGGACACTCCAGTCTAACCCTACAGCAACCCCGAGAACGGGACAGCGGGTTCTCCAACGCTGGGTGAGTGAACAGATGAAGAACCCAAGGAGGCAGGTACTGTACTCCCCGTTTTACAAACGAGGGGGCGGAGGCGCTCAGAGACAGAGACTTTCCGAAGGTCTCGCCGCTGCTGAATAGCAGAGGCGGGTTTCAAAGCCAGCCTGAGCCGACGCTTGCCTCCCAAGCGCCGCACTGGACCCGCTGTCCCGGGCCCCATTCCTTCCCACCGCGTCCTCCCCATGTCAGAGACTCGGAAGCCAGGGTCACGGGACACGAGAACCAGGGTTTGTTGGGCATCGCAAGCGCCTGCTCTTAACCACAGTCGAGTTGTGCTCATTAGCACGCTGATGACTGGACATGCATTTTTTTTTTTTTTAAGATTATTTATTTGACAGAGAGAGATGGCGAGAGAGGGAACACAAGCAGGGGGAGTGGGAGAGGGAGAAGCAGGCTTCCCGCCGAGCCGGGAGCCCGATGTGGGACTCGATCCCAGGACTCTGGGATCATGACCTGAGCCGAAGGCAGACGCTTAACGACTGAGCCACCCAGGCGCCCCCGGACATGCATTTTTTAATTTAGGGTAAGTGGGGCATTCCCAGGCAGGACCTATTTCACAGAGGTGATGGAAACCCCCTAAAGCAGGAAGGTGCAGGCTTGTCAACTGGTGATAAGGAGGGTGCAGCACATAGTTGTGTTTAAGAACTTACTTCCCAGCTGTCGGTGGAGGGGGGGGGTCTGCAGGGATGATACTCGTATGCCAGGCTACCTGCCTTGAGGGCTGGTGCCCTTGCTTAATCCTCTCCCCTCTCCCAGGCACTGTATCATACAGAGGTGTCCTCTTTGGAACATGCAACCATTTGTGAATTACTTGTTCAATTTCTGATCTGCCCTTAGCTCTAAGCTCTACATGGGAAGGGCAGTGTTCATATTATTCACTGCTTTTTGCCCAGCTTCTAACACACTGCCTGGCCCAGGACAGGCATTCAGTTAAGTACCAGCTGGGTTGAACTGAACCTCATTACTCCCTTCCTCTAGAAGAAGAGCACAGTCACAGCTTTAAAGGGCACCATTCTGTCCCGGGCCTAAGAGAACTTGAAGAGGAAACCCCAAAAGGCTCCCTTCTTGGAGAGGCTGCGGTGACCTCCAAGGTGCTCCAGTGACCTCCAAGGAGCCTGGTCCCTAAAGCAAGTGATGGGGACTGCATTTTCCCCTATGAGTGTGGGTGACATTTTCCTCCTCCACACAAGGTGCTAAGAGGGGAAGAGAGCTGGGTCTCATGCTGCTGGGAGTCGTGTCATTTTGGGTTCCCATTCATCTGTCTGGCCCAACCAAACATTAGTGGCGCCTCATCCATGCTTGGCCTGGGGTGAGGTCCTGGGGACACAGTGATCAGAGGTACAGCTAGTGCTGGAAGGGGGCTAACACCCATGCTCTCTATTGGCCTTGTAGCAGGCAGCAAGGACAAACAGAACAGGAGCATGATTGCAAGAATCTGGAAAGACCCCGCAGCCTCCAGAACGTGCCCATATCGCATCATTTTTGTCATCTCATTTTGTTCCTCCAAGTGAGTAGCCCTAGTGCATGTTGGTGAAGTCAAGGTTGGGTGTAGGTCGGGGGGCCCCGCTCTGCTGCCAGGGGTAAGGGTCACCAGCTCTCTGAGGCTGAGCCTTGTTCTCTGTAAAATGGGGGCGGCGGGTATCTTCCTTGTGGGGTTGGTGTAGAGAATTAACAAGATCGTGCCTGTGGTTAAGTCTGACACAAAACCCTGCGCAGACAAGGCCGTCTGTGAGCTCAATTCTTATTTTAGTGACCACCTCTAAGTTCTTACCAGGGGAAAGGAGGCTGACGGCTGCTGTGGAGGAAGGAATGAGCACGGAAGGAGTTCTGGGAAAGAAGCCCCAGGGAAGGTCCCCAGGGTTCAGGTTTCAGCTGCTCCAGTGGCTTTTGAAAAGCGCTCAGTGGGAAGGAGGTCTCTAATAGGAACATCTTTTGGAACTTACTTGTTTTTAAACACCACATGCTAAGCCTGGCTGAAGAAAGTTCCCTCAAGAGGACATACAGAAGGCATATACTGGAAATCTGAGGGGCCTGGGGCTCTCAGGAGAACTGGCCCAACTTCTCAGGGGGACGGCCGCTGTGCAGCTCCCCATTTCCGCACTCCTGCGCCCCTCCCCTCCCCCACCCCCCCAGGAATGAGAAAGGAAGGCTGGGCAAAGTGAGGAAGTGGCCAGGAGACTCCCATCCAGGGCCGCTGGGTGTGGGAGGCTGGGGGCAGCAGGCTGCGGTGGGCTCGTGAGGAACAGCAGAGGTGTGCTGACGATGGTGGTGTTCTCTGACCCCCTCACGTCCTCTACTGCTAAGAACACACAACCTGACCTCATCCAGACAACAGCTGGCCCAGTATTCCTTCAGTCTTTGTCCACAGGGACATGAACACATGCTCACAGAAGTACACCACCATCCATTCCCCTCTCAAACATTTAATGCGATGGAAAGGTTCACCTGCCGATAGGTGGGCTGATTCATGTGACCCCCCCTGACTCCAGCTGACTCCAGGCTGACGTACACTCAGACGGGCAACACGCTTTTGTTCTCATTTTTTTATGCTACCTATGGGACTATGCCTGGCATTGAGAGTCACATCTGGGGCCTTTTGCATGACATTGTGTGCTGCCCAAATGCACCAGGCTCCCTTTCCCCCAGGAGTGTTGACACATGTCCTTTTAAATCAATCAGCCCTGCCAGCCGGGCTAACCCATTTAACAGGAACAATAAGAAGGAAGGGATCCTAGGGGGAAGGACAGGGTGAGAATGCCACTTAAATATTTACCAAGATACTTTTTCTTTCTTTCTTTCTTTTAAAAACAAAAACAGAAAGGACAGAATGCTTGGTGGAACATCTTACACTGGATGATGAGTTTCCGGTGCTCATCTCGGGAGTCTTCCATGGTGTAGAGGGTTTGCTTGGTGATGCTATTGAGGTCCACGTTCCTCCAGTCTTCCAGCATTTGGAATGTGATGTCTGCACTGTGGATCACCGTCCGAGATGCCTGTAATCCAAGCCCATCAACTCATTAGCTTGAGGGCTGTTAGGTTAAAACCCCTGCACATTATTTTCTTTTTAATGAATCTGCATAGGGTATTTTGCAAACTACTTTGAAATTCAGGAAAACTCCATTTCAGGAAATCAGCAGATGAGTCCATAACTCAGAAGACCCATACAGTCTTTTCTCTTGTGGCTCTCTTTTCTCAGCTCTATAAAAAATTACTCCAGGGTGGCCGAGGCTAGACCAAACCCTGCTGTTCCCAGCCCCTTTGGTCTTGACCGCTGGGGAACAATGGGATGAAGCCCAGAGACCTGTCAGCCTTCCGATATAAGCTTGCGGGATGGGAGCTCTGTGCTTAAAAACCCATGTGTCTTTAGCGTCTGAGAAACAACATGAAGGGTGTACCTCTGGTTTCCAAATCTCCCAAATCACCCACTTTGCCATTTATGCCAGAGGCAGGGCAGGAACGGTGAGATGTGTGGGGGTGTAGTTCTGTATTTTCAGGTGCCTGGCCTGGAGGTTTCCTTCAGGTCACTCTAAAAACCCCTTCCTCCAACCTTGACCTTGAATAACCAGCACCGACCCAGAACCCACAGTATGAGGGAGAGGTGGCAAACGCCACACAAAGAAGGCAGGCAGGTGGCAGATGGGAGTGAGGGAAGCCAGCGAAGCGTAAGAGGAAGTGGGGCTGACAAGGAGGACAGTGCCTGCTGGAAAGGAGCTCAGCCCATCCACTTGATTCCTGCCCTGGGAAATGTGGTTCTGGGGCTGTTTAGCTGACATCTCCCAGGTTCAACTGTAAACTACGAAGTAAAAACAATTTTTGAACACATGCAAATCAAACAAAAATAAGCCCACCCACTTGAGGGCCAGATCTGACTGGCAGCCACCGGTTTGCCCCTTCCGCTTTAAGATCATTAATATTCTAATGAATGTTAACTGGCTGCCTTAATAGACTTAGATTCCCTTCCTTAAGGTACAAACTTAAGAGAAATACAAAGCTTTATGCCATCGAATTATCACCAAGGAGTTATAAGGAGATAGTCCACCTTTCACTGTACAAATTTTTGTTATTGCTGAATTTTTTTATAGTAAGCATATGTCACTTTTGTGCTAAAAAGAACAAAAATCTGGAGAAAATAAACAAAAGGGGGTAAATATTTAACATACTGTGTGCCTTTGAACTCTTCTGGATGATACATACACAACAAACAAATCATCCTCTTTATATTTGAATCATTTATTTCTGTGACTCACAAGGGGGGGGTGTTGTGTGACACTGGGCCCCCGAGCTACATTTGGTCATGTCTGGAGACATTCTTGATGGTCAAAATCAAGGTGGTACCTGGGGGTGGGGTGCTGCTAGGCATCTGGTTGCTGGCATGCGGGTGGAGGCCAGGGATGCTACTAAATCTTTGCACTGCACCAAACAACTCCCGAGAGCAAAGAATGATCCAGCCCCACATGTCAGCAGTGGCCGAGAAAGCCCGATCTACTCAAGGGAAATGCAAACTTGCACGCCAGAACATATCTGAAAGGTTAAGGGGCGACTGACGTCAGAAATTATTTTGTATGCTAGTCGGAAATATTTTGTGATTGCTTAATGTTATTCTTTATCAGTAGAAATTAAAGGTACCAGTAAGAGTATATCAAACACCTATTATACTGTATTAAACTATCAAACAGCCACACCCCCGATGGATCTCTGGGGAGCTGTTCTGTGCATTTGCCCCTCATGGGCAATGACTTCAAAGGAGTTAGAAAACATAACACAGGATACATACCTGGCAAAGATGATTCAGTGATGTCTGCCGTCTCAGAATTTGGGAAAACCTTCTCGACACTGCAAGAAGGAAGAGTTAGTCTGAAGTATTTGCATGCTGTATGGTCCTACCTTGGATTTTCCAGGGGCAGATTTCAAAAAGTAGCTTATTTGCCTAAATGCGTTTCACTGTCCAACCCCATTTTATGCACCCGCTGGCAAAACCCTGCATTTGATTCTTTGTTCTCCCGTGTGGACAGCTATTTCCTAAAATGGCGATATTTGGGGTACATATTTCAAAGTCACCCGCATGCCATACTGGCAGGTGTGAGAAATTGTGGTGTCAATCAACCGTGAATAAAAGCAATTATTTACTTGTCTTTCATTTCGCTAATTGCAAGCTCAATCACTTCTCCCCATAAATAATTGCTGGAATCAAGTGGAAGCTTTGAAGAAGGCCCTTTAAAAGTAGTATATCTAATAGGGAAACTTGATTGAGCCTCAGCGGTGTGTGGTGTGAGGGGCTGCTTTTAGGACGGAACCCTGGGCTGCACTTTGAATGCGGCTTTGCATTCATAATCTGCCATTTTTATCAAATGATCTCCATGACCTGTTGGTGTGTTTTGCTGATCCTGTTTACCACAGTCATTTAACAGGCTGATGGTTCGAAGTGGGATGATCTTAAATCTGAAGATTTCAAGACCAAGCAGACAAGCCATGTGCCAGCCCCAGGTCTCCACGATTGCAGAGTTGTCTGGAGTGGTGTTTCCCCTCCTCGCCCATTCTCCAAGTGCCCCCGAGGTTCCCTGGGAGAGGGGTTCCCGCAGGCCCCAACAGGTGGAAGGTCCAACAGACCTCCTTGCTGCCAACTTTCAACAGGTTTGTTTTGTCAGCATAATTAAAACGGGTGCAGGGCATTCTTCTCATTAATTTCTGAACTGGTCAAGAAGCAGAAATTTCCCTGGGATTATTCTAATTTGTACTCAGAGCCAGCTTGGTTTGAAAAATAGGGCATGGGGTGGAGAAATGGGGGGTGGGGGCACAGATGAACTTCTAATTTTCCAGACCGATCAATCGTTAATCCTTCTCCTTAATTACTTTTTCTTTAACTTTGTGATGTGGAATTTAGTGCTCATGAAAAGAAAAGAACTGAGAGCCGTGAAATAAAGCGGGCTTTATCAGTAGGTGCTGGGCGCTGCAGGCGGCCTCAGCCTTGGAGCGCGTCTGAAAGGGCTCCCTGTGCCTGCCCAGAGAGGGTAATTTGATCCCCTTCATTTTCCCTGCCGCCACTTTCTCCCGGGCAAGAATGGCAAGCTGGATTCAAATGCTGCTTTAAGAAACCTATATCTTAAAACTTTGGCTTAAAATCATTTCATCTTGGTATAATAGCACATGCATCTTCCCACAAGTCCAGAAACACCGAGACAGAGAAATAGGACCAGTTTTCTCAGGCAAAACTAATGGGGGAGAGTGGCTGGTGATGCTCAGCAGAAAAGAAAAAAAAAAAAAAAAAAAAAAAAATCACAGTCCTAATCCCCGTAGGAGAAATATTAATTTGGCTTTCTCGTTAGGCAGAGAATTGAATATGGGAAGCCCTGAAGCCGTTTTCTGTCTCCTGTTACCACCTTTTTGGGGGGCAGGGCTTCAGGGAAATCCCAGAGTTTCGGGGTCGGACAGATTTGAGTTTGACTTCTGGCCCCTTCTTACAGGGATACTGCACCCTACATCACAGAGGCGGCGTGAGGATGAAGTGGGGTGAGATAGTGGTGATGAGCAGACACTCTGGTGTCAACAGACAGACCCGGGAGCAAATCCTGCCTCTGTTACTGACTAACCCCCTCTAAGCCCCTGTCATTTTCCATGAAAGGAGAAGTGCGCCACCCATAACACACCTTTTGGGAGGACTGAGGAAGTTCGTGCATGAAAAGCGCTAGGCTTAATACCTGGTGCTTTGCAAACAGTAAATGAAAGTCATTATTATTATTGTATGAACAACCTATGTAAAGTTGTTCGGCACTAAAATGTTGTCCTCCCTTCCCCTCGGCTCCCCACCTCTGTACTTACATTCAAACTTAATGTTTCGCAAGTTTTCTGGAAGGTCATGGAGAGCCACTTTTAGCCACTCATCCAGCTGCTTGGCAAACTTTCGGATCACCTGAGTTAAGCTGGAAGGAGAAACGATCCATTTTAAGTGCCTCGTGTGTTGCCCGACGGGGTTGGGTTGTCCTGGAATCGTGTTTTGGCCGCCCCAGTATCACTCAGTGCAGCGACCTCAGGGGCTGGGTGGACTGGGAGGCTGAGCAGGGCCCGAAGGGAATGTGCTCTGGTGCCTACGCTGGTCACTGGGGGACGTGGCGCCCCGACTCTGAGCAAAACGCCACGTGTCCTGCTTCTGTATGAGCCTGCGTTGAGGGGTGCAGACGGAGGGCGGTGGGCCCGACAGCACCCCTCTGCTGCCACTCTTGCCCCAGCGCCCGCCCACCCAGCCTGGCTCCGGCTGTCCCCGCCGCCGCCGGCCGCTTGGCAGGATCTGGGAAGCACCGACACACAGCCCTGACCCTGAAACCATACCCCGTTTTTGGAGAGCCGAGGGCTGTTTGGGGGCAGGGGGTGAAGGGTGAGGGGATGGCAGGTTGCAGCATGAAATGGGAATCAGGAGGACCTTGGGCATCACTTTCAGGCTCTCCCTGTGAACACCATGGGCTGGGTCCTCCTTCGGCTTGACTCCACAGGGACCTCAGCCCCTGGGGAGCGTCACACTGTCCTCGTCCCCCAGCAACACAGCCTACCCGGCCCTCGGCAGTGTCCTACGGACTCTCCTGTCAGACCCTGATCACTGGCCTCCCCTCTCCACCAGGCGGTCCCATCAGGTTTCTCGTCCTTCACTCCTCACTTTGCCAACCTTCTCTAAGACCCTCCACCAGCCGCGGGCACCATCCCCACTTTTCAAGGAACACAGCCGCAAAGGGAGAACTTTCCAGCATTCCACTATAGCACAACTCTCCTCCTCGGCCACCCTGACAGAATCAAGGGCCAACCCCATGTCATCCCCTCCTGCCCCCTCAGGAACCCCACTTCACTGACCGCCCCTTCTCCCGGATATCCCACCTCTTCCTCTCACCAAGCATGTCTCACCTTAAAAATAAACCCTCTTATTTCCTCACGCTCTCTCTTCAGGGTACCACCCTCTGTCTTCCACTTCACAGACGTCCTTCTTCAGAGAGTTGTCCACACTCTTTCCTTTCCTTCACCTCCTGCTCACTCCAGTCCCTCAGCCCAAACAGCTCCCACTAGGCAGTAAGCTGCATCCAGATGTGAACCCAATGGACTCATTTTGGTTCCCATCTGGCTTGATATTTTGGCAGCATTTGGCTCTATTGGCCCCTCCTCCTTTTGGAAACATTTCACTTTCCCTGGTGGTTGTGGCCCCTGTCTTGTGGCTACTCCTTCTCAGTCACAAAGCTCAGCCCCTCCACCTGGCCTTTACTTCCTCCATCTCCTCCACATCTAGTCCTGGACCCTTGCTTGTCACACTTTGTCCTTCCCTGGATAGCTTCTCTGTGACCACAGCTTCAGTCACTATCTACACTTGCTTTTAATTTTAAGGTCCAGAGCAAAGGTCTCCAGAACTCTAGACCAACCACCTACAGGGCCCCTCCATTTAGCATTCTAAAGACACATCAACCTCAGCATGTCCAAACTGAACTCATCGCTTCTCTGTCAGACGTCCTTTTCTTATGTTCCCTATTTCACCGTGAACTCTACTTTCCCTAAAGTTTTTGTTTTCAACTTTTTTATATGAAAAAATTTCAAATATACCCCAAGATAGAATGGTATAATAAACCTCCAAGTATCTCTGACCCAGCTCCAATAACTAGCAACATTTTCCCACTTCAGTTTATCACATGCCACTCTGTCTTTTCAGGAATGCGATAAGCAAATTCATGATGTATCATTTCAGAAACTTTGTGTCCATCTTCTAGCATGCACTTAAATATGTATGTATGTGTATACACACACACACACAATTTAAAACCTCCATGCCATTAGTATACCTAACAGAATGAACAGCAATTCCTTAATATTATCTAAAGCCCAGGGGCACCTGGGTGGCTCAGCCAGTTAAGCATCTGCCTTTGGCTCAGGTCATGATCTCAGGGTCCTGGGATCCAGTCCCACATTAGGCTCCCTGCTCAGTGGGGAGTCTGCTTCTCCCTCTGTGCTCTCCCTCTCTCTCGCTCTCTCAAATAAATAAATAAAATCTTTAAAAAATGTATTATCTAAAGCCTAGTCTGTCCTCAGATTTCTCTATTTCTCTCAGAGCAATCTTTTGGTTTCTTTGAATCAGGATCCAAACAAGGTCTACACACTGCACAAAACGTTGCCTTGTTCTATTTCTTAAGACTTTTTAAAAATTCTCTTTCATGCCATTGGTTTGTTGGCCACCTCATGTTATTTGTTCCCTGGAATGTCCCACACCGATTTGGTTGATGTCTTCCTCATAGTGCCATTTAACCTGTTCATCTATCCTGCGTGCTTCTCATAAACTGACAGGTCTAAAGAGTAGATCGAATTAAGTTACATTTTTTTTTAAGGCAAGAGACTTCGTAGGTGGCCCCTGTACTGCCCACTGTATCACACCATGAGACTTATAATGGTTGGTTGTTCCTCTTTTACTGTATCTGGTTTTGACACTTGAATAGTCTCTCTTCCCATGAGCGGGTACTGCAGATTTTATCTCCAAATTGTCTCTCAACCTCATCCAGTCTTTCCCTCTTCTCCCTACTTCCAGCTATCATCATCTCTCACCTGGGCCAGTATGACAGCTTCTACAACAGTGGGTACAAGAGCCTACCTGCTCTGCTACTTCCCTACCTCTACCCTGTCTTCCACATTGTGAGAGCGATTTCTCTAAAACCCTTGCAATTCTGATCTAGTTCACCTTCTGATTAAAACCCCCCAAAGCTTTCCCATTCTTCTTGGATAAAGACCAAAATCCTGACTGTGATCCCCAAGGCTCACACTCTAGCCTTGCTTCCTCTCCAGCCTCACCTCGCATTCTCTCTCTTCATCCATGTTTCAGCCCCTCTTGCCTCCACCTAGTTCTTTCCCACCTCAGGGCCTTTGACCTTGGCATCCTTCTGTCCAAGAGCATCCCACCCTTCTTCACCTACTGGACTCCTCCTCGTCGATCTGATCTCAGAGCAGGTGTCACGTCCACAGGAAAACCTTCTCTGAAACCCCCTACTTTAGGTCAGAGCCCCTGATTGTTCCTCTTGAAGGGCCAAGTTGTGACAGTTGGTAACTATACACTGACTTGTGTGATTATCTGATTCATGTCCATCTTTCCCACTAGACTATATGCTCCAATGCGGAGGCAGGGACTATGTCTATTTTGCTTATCACTGTGTGTTCAGCACCTAGCATAGTGCCAGACACCACACTGAACCCCTCTTTATCTTTCTGACTTCAGCTCCTCCCACTCCCTCTCCCCACCTCCACCCTTACCCCCTGCCAGCTTACTCAATTCCCACAGCACCAGCTTCCTTTCTGTTTCTTCAGGTCCTTGACAACCTCACCAGGGCCTTTGCATCTGCTGTTCCGTCAGCCTGGAAAGCTCCTGCCCCAGACTGTAGCCGGTTCCCTCCCTTCCTTAACAACTTCAGAGGTTGGGTTCAAGTGCTGACCACAGGATCTGAAACTGCCAGTATCCCCACACTCCCAGTTCTACCAACTATCTCAACACTCTTGAGACTGCCAAATGTTTTAAAAAGATCAGTCTGGTTCCTGGGATGAGAGTCGAGTATAGAAGGGCAAGGACAAAACAGGGAGATCTGTTTGGAGGTCATCCCAATAATCTAGGCAAGAAAGCATCCTGGTTGAGGGTGGTAACAGTGGAAATAATGCAATGTGGTCAGATTAAAATATTTGGAAGGCAGAGCCAACCAGGAGGTCCTGGTGAGTGGATGCGGGTGTATGAATAAAGAATGTTGTCAAGGATGTCTTCGTGAAAGAAAGTGGTATATGTACCCCTGTGCCTAGCAGAGTGCTTGATATCCAAGAGGTGCTTAATAAATGTTGAATACTGAGTGAACCAAAAGTACTGCACACGTAATAAAGCCAAAGTACATTCTCGGCAATTAGCACATGGATCCAACTTCTAAGTGAGAAGATTTCTCAGAATATTTGGCCACTCTTGACAGAGGTCAAAATTTAGAGAGGTGTCTGGAGTGATCATATGATGGCTGTTGTACCATCAAGGAGGGTGGGCTGCCATTCCACACCCATGACACCTTTCCCGGGGGCCATTACTTGCAGCTGGCGTAGAGGAGCTGGCCTTCATACGGGAGCAGGAAGTAAGCAGCAGGACCAGTGATGGGTCTTCTCCTTTGTGCAATCGTTTGATTTTATTACAGTGAAGAAAAGCGGGAAGCGACTCATCCTGAAAAGGATTCTATTTTGGGACTTGGAACTGGGACTGCCAGATTTTTAGGAGTAATCTGAACAGAGCAAGAGAGGAGCTGGCCTCCTGATCACCTAGCTTGGAGTGGCCTCCTGGCCTGCTCCACCTTCCTGCAGCATCAGATGATGCTGACCACCACCCCCTTCCTCGCTACTCTCCTTCGACGGTATGCACCCTGCGGCCTGACACCCTTCTCTGCTAACTTACTTTGTCTCCTTCCATCTCACTCCCCAGGCTGGCACTCCCAGGGTCTGTCCTGTAGCTCCAGTGCCTCACCTTCTCATCCCTTTTACGCAGGTGGCTCCCTTGTCTATAGCTCCAGCTTCAGCCCTTCTCCTGCATCTTAATTCCACACTTGGAACTCTGACTGACTTCCAGCCGTGATGCTGGAACAACAGCAACAGCACTGATACCAGCTACCTTTTAATGAGTGCAGTGTGCCAAGTGCTAAACACTTCACATGTGTTTTCTTATTTAATCCTCACGTCTACCCTATGAAGTAGGTACTGTTGTTAGTCCCAGCAGAGAGGTGAGAAACCAAGGCTCAGAGAAGTTACTTGATTTGTCCGAGGAGATAACAAATAAGTGGACAAGCAAGATGGAGGCCCACATGTGTTTGCCTCCAAAGCTCTGGTATCTTGGTCTTCTCTTTGCTTCTCTGATATCTCATCTTCCCTGCCCATCCACCACCCCTATACACAT